TGCGGTCAGAGGGTTCCCCGGGCAGGCTCCGGCGGTTGTTTTCTCTTCTTTAGGCATTTTAGTGGGTTCCTCGATGCTGAGCTGTCAGTGTCGCCCAGGCAGGTTTTCTCGGTGTCCAACCTCGGTCCTTCTTAGTTCTCTTGCCGTGTCCGCCGTGGTGATGCTGCAGCCGCCTCTGTGCTTCTGTGGACCGCCATCGCGCTGGCCCGCCGGCTGTCTGGATCACCTCAGGCTGGCAGCGGCTTTCTTGAACTGTCCGGTGCGCAAGTCTGAAAGCTGTTCTTCTGCTGAAATGCTGCGGTGTAAAGCAGAGAATTAATTCATCTGCCTTACTGGCCATAATTCTTCAATGCTTCAAAAAACCAGTACGTCTGCCTCTTTGGCAACGGGTTGTCACCGTTGACCTGTGCTCAGCTTTGGATGCCCTCTAGCCCCAGTGGCATTTTCTGCAGAATTAGTCGCAGCCTTTGTTTCCAGTCGTGTCTGTGGACTTTGTTCACCAAGCGCAGAACCTTGCACTCATCCACATTAAACTTTTTCCTATTTTTTTCCCCAACTTGCATCTCATCTCTACCTTGTGATGAGTATTTTGAATTGTGATACAGTGTGCTTGAAGCTCCTCCCAAATAGGAGGAGCTGCAGATTTACTAAGGGACTCATTTTCATTCAAGTCCTTGATGAAATGTAGGGTGGAAGTCTGAATGGTGCATGATCCAAATTCGGCAGTGTCAGTAACCTGTGCTATCTTTGTAACTGGTCTTGGAAAAGTAATAGAACGTTTCTTCAGGGTACAGTGAATGTTGTAGGCCTGACCACATAGCCAAAAAGCCTTTTTTTAATCAATAGTGGGAAGTCAGGAGTATGGGATAGAGAGGATTCGCAAAGGTAAAATTCCCTGCTATGTATCAAGGGCTCTCTTATGCTAGAATAAACAAGCCAAGCTTTCAGAGCCTTCTTGAAGACTTTTTTTTCCAGTCATCATAATAGCCCTTTTTCTGTTATTTCTTGTAGTTTAAATTGATCTGTTTTGAACAGTTAAACATAACATTTTACACAGTTGCTGATCAGGCATCATCAGTATTTTCATACAGTGGCTTTAGTACTTGCTTTGTTCACTGAAGACAGCTTGGTTCACCTGGTATGTCCTAGGATCAGATTGTCTTTTCTTCCCCATGTCACTTAATTGGCAGTTCATTATTGCCTTGTGACATCCAGATGTTTTTCTTGTGATTACACACACAGTGCTTCAGATCTTAATAGTCTCCAGGTGCATCACCTTGTGCTATGACCTTTATACAGTTGAATTTCATTCTGGTGGTATCACTCCAGCCGTGAAAACAGTACAGAACTTCCTGTACAATAATGGTAATATCATAATCTGTCAGACCCCGTGCTTTTTTGGGGTGGGGTTTCTGTTTTGTTTTTGTTTTGGTCAGGAACACTGTAAAGCGTTAAATAAGGCTACTAATATCAACATTCTTTGTGGAACTTCACTAGTAATCTTCAATCAGCTTATACTTGTTCTTTCAGTTGAGCATGTTGTCTTCTTCCTGTCAGTCAATGTATTGTTCCCCTTACAATTACTGTACATTTTAAATTATTTTCTCATTTGTTTTGTGGCACAATATTGGATGCTTTTCTGAAGTCAGCTTGACTTTTGCGAGGTCTCAACTTTGTATTCCTGCTAGCTGTGGTGACAGGCAGCTTCTGGCTTTTCTGTCTGCACTGTAGAAAGCAGCTCACATAGACTTTCCTCTTGCACAGCTTTTTAGAAGGAAATTTCAAGCTGTTAAGCAGTATAAGTTGTTATCATTTTCTGTCATCCCCTTAAGTTGTTCTCTCCACTTTGTTTCCCTTCTCAGGCTGTAGCTATTACACTGGCAGTTCTCAAGAAGAAATGGAGCTCGGGAAATAAAAGTGTAGAAGAGTTTGAGTATTAGGTTTCACCAGAATGCCTCTTCCTAAGTACATCTTACTGAATGTCTTGTCAGGGAGCTTTTGTGAGTCAAAGATCACAGGCTGTGATGACACCTTTCTACCACGCAGAAAAAGGGAGCAGGCAAGACTGGAGGCAGTGCTCTCTTATTTTTTCTTTCAGAAGATTGAAGTTAGAAGAGAGGTGTGCTAGGTGAAGAATCACACCTGATCCTCAACCGTACCAACGTAGCTGCTGCCTCTCCTTCACCTTTCAAGCCATCGAATCTTCCATCCCAGCTCAAGGAATAGACTTGGTGCTTGCTTACAGGAAGAATAATCAAGGTGTATCTTTCTTGCAGTGATCTGTTTAAGAAGTAATTACTGCTAACTTGGAAAAATTATTTACCCAAGTCAGGAGACTCTTTCTCTGCAAGGGTTTTATTCTGAATTTCCCTGCTTTTCTGTATATGTTTCCCGCTAAGGTGGTTGGAACAGGTTTTATGCATTAGAAGTCAAATTATTAAGAGCCTGTGTGCCTGGAAATATTCTCCTTACTCAAGACTTAGTGAAATTGGCTGGAAAATGTCCTCTGGAAGCCATAAATACCTCCTAGTGTTTGACATCAGTATTTGGGGCATGAAGTCAGGACAAGGGCATAAGAACCCTTTCAAGAAAGGGAGGGGAAGAAGGAAAGCAGAGCAGCAGTGAAATGGCTCTTCTTTTTCTGAAGCTGGATAGCTGAGCCAGAGGTCTTTGAGTGTTTCTTTGACAGAGGAGAGCTGTGTCAGAGAATCTTTCTGCCTGGGACCATAGAGGTTTAAAATGAGTACTTGGTGGAGTGATTATCGCTTTCATTCACCCTGGGAGGAAAGACAGCAAAAAAACTTTATCTGTGGGTTATATAGTTAAACTCCCAACTAAGGAAGCATGCGTGTGTACATCCCTTCTGTCACTTGGGACTGAGTTGAGAGTGCGTATAATACTACAAACAACTAAAACCTTTGAGAGTAAACTTTTCCTTATGTAATTCTGCCTGGGATAAATGTCAGTAAAAAGGAAAGCAAAGATGCAGATCTAGGGGGAAAAGCGCACTTCAGTAATTTTAAGGTTTTATCAATAGAATGTAAATCACAGGTTCAGTTTAATTATTGATGTGTACAGTAATGTTAAAATATGTTCTGTATAAAGAGTTGAAACTGGTATATACCTTACCTGGGATAGTGTAAGTCTCCCGGAGTGGCAGGGTAAATGCTTGCATCTTTCACAGTTACACAAAAGCTAGAAAGTAACAATTGTAATTTAGGGTTTAGCATGCATTTCCTTGGCAAGTAGCTACAATGGCTTAAAATATTAGTATTCCTCTCCTGGAGATTAGCGCAGACGTGTGGGATCTCTTAAGCTGCTTCAGTGCTGACCACTTTCCATGGCAATTCAAGCTGAAATGGTAGTAACAAGTAGTTGAGAAGGATGATAACACCTTCAACTAAGTGAATTAACATGTGTCGCCTGGACTCCCTTCCACAGTATTTAAGGTTTTGTGGGTGTTAAATTGTGCTATATTGCAGAGTTGCTTTATCTTCCACTATAAAGAGCTTTTAAATAAATAATAGCCCCCAAAAGCCTTTTTGCGTGACTTTTATTATCCTGTCAGTGGGGCGCACAGTATAGCCACGCTGACATTAGTTGCAGGAATTGGTGATTATGTTTTGCAATCCTTAAGCTTGAATAGTTTTTTGAATAGCTTTACATATATGTGTTTAAGAGTTTTTATTACAGGTTTTGACCAACCCCTAAGAACCCTATCACAACTTCATTCTAAGATGATGTCAATTGAAACTGTTGTTTTGGGAATTCACAGGGTCAATGATTTGAAGACTGGTACGCTGATAGGAATTGACAAATATGGAAACAAATACTATGAAGACACAAGAAACTTCTTTGGTATGTGTGCTGCTGTGAACACCTCCTGACTGACTATCCAACTTTGTATAGCTTGTGTAGTTTCTGCTAGTGAAGTAGAACTTGTTGCCTGCCCAACTTCCTCGCACTTGACTTGTGTGAGTCTTAGAGAGAGGGCTCATAGAAATGCTTTGACATCTTCTGTCTCTCTACTGCTTCCCTCAGTTCATTTGCAGACATAGGCAATCTGAAATAATAAATATGGGATAAATACAAGCCGGTCAGATGCTCTCCATGTAGGTATGCCTATATGATAATGTGATTGAGAGCTGAATTTGGTCCTTGACTTAAAAGCTGATAGCTTAACAGGTGTGGGGGAAGAAAGAGAACTGCCTTTAAAACTGCTTCACAGCTGTACTTACTTATATGATCACTTCAGGGCAAAGAAACACAGGTTAGCTTAAACTTTCTATTACCTTAAGTAATGGGATTTTAAAGAACATTTGTAGAGTACTTAAAAAGGTAGCACCTAAAACAACAAAGGTGACACGTAGGCAACTAACATACTAGTTACGCCAAGCTCTGCCTACTGTAGGTTAACTTGTAGGGTACCTGGGGAAAGCAGTTGCTGGTAAACATTGCTTGGTAGTTTTATATGGCTGAAACTTAGTTTAATCTTGGGTTACTAATGGCAATGTCCTTTTGGAAAAGACTCCTCCTAATGGGGATAAAAATCCCCAAACCTGTTTCTCTGCCTGAAAATTTTGTAAGTTCCTGTTTCCCATTACTTATACAATAGCTAATACTTGCTTCCTCCTGAGACTGTTAGATTCAGCCATATAAAAATACAGCAACAGTGGAAATACAGAAGACTTAGAAAAATAAAAGCTGTACTGACTTTGAAGTAAGTGCCCATAATGGTAGATACTTTTAGTCAAAATACTTTTCCTTGTGTTTTCATGAATTCTGTCCTTTATATGAAAATCTTTTTTTTTTTTCTTTTTTTGAGCTAATACAATATTTCTGTTTGTTTAAGGTCGACACAGATGGGTCATCTATACTAATGAAATGAATGGCAAAAATACGTTTTGGGAAGTTGATGGAAGTATGGTGCCCCCCGAATGGTAAACCATTTAGCTTAATAATGTGGACAGATACCAATTGTGTAATTGCCTGTATATTTTCTTGTATTACAAAGCAGAAGATTAAAAAAAAAAAAATTATGGTAATAAAGTTTTCTTGGACGCAGCTATCTTATATATGACCAGAAGATTTCAGACAGGTTACTTTTAATTTTGAACTGCATTCATAATATTATATTGCTAACTGTCCTGACAGTCGCACTCACTGCTTCTTGGAATGAGAAAAGCATTTTGTCAGCCAGATTGAGCAGGTCAAGCCAGTCTTCCAATTTTCCTTATTAGTCGTGATTCCATCTTAATGGTTTGGCAAAGCCTACAATAGCATTGAGCAGCCAGAGGTAGAAAAAAATATTTTTATTATCCATTCTAGACAAGAACCTAAAGAACGTGAGGCAGTAATGGAACAACACTCCTTAATCCACAGCCATTAACAGCATAATTGTTTCAGTTGATACACATTGGTACTCTACAAGATGATGAACAGCAAAAGGCCAGGATGCTCTCTATGTTGACTGCTACTTGACTGTAATTTTTCTTAAGGTTTTATTTTCTGTTCATCCATTTCAGTAATAATTCTGTACAACCTTGAGTTCCAGAAGGTCTCTGGCGACACAGCTGTTAATACTTTTTTTTTGTCTTCCTAAATAACTCAGGAAAAAGACATACCAAATAAAGTAACAGTGTATGCTAGCAAAAACAATCTCTACCTGATGCTTGAGGAATATGAATAGCACTTCAGCCACAAAGCAATGAAAGGTGATTTGAAGTAAGAGGTGCTTGGGTAGACTGAGCATTGGTGAACACTGTTTTTTATTATCACAGTGATAAAGTTCTGTGCCAAGGCTGAGACTGATTATCTAAACTCCTAAATTGTGGCTCTCGTTAGAACATTTGAGAAATGCGTGGGTAGACTGTCTAGGTAGTCAATTTTGTTTCAAATTCTCCCAGCCTTAAAATTGTGTTTAATGCAGTTAATGCTTTTTTCTGTCTTCTCCAGTAAGAGTTTAATGGCATTGTTTTTTAGAAGTGGCATTAGAGTCTCCAAAACTAGCAGTGCGGGGCTGCTCCTTGTTATCTGCATAATAACTGTTGTTTGCTTCTAGTTTTTATCTTTTCACTGTTAGACTGTGCTGGTTTTCAAGATTTTCCTTATTTTGAGGCATGGTTTTTATTGGTTTGTTTTTTTCTTTGCTCATGCTTATGTGTTGTTTATTGTGTCCTTACAAACCTTGATAAAGGATTTCTTCCTGAGTATCAAAGGAACGTTTCTAGGATTAAGTAGGTTGGTTTGATCACATAAATTAGTGAGGTAGAAAAACTTGTTTTCCTATCAATGTGGAAAAAATTGCCCTAGAAGAAACAGTAAATGTTTCATTATTTTCAAGACTGGTCAGTGCAGTGGGGCATGAAAGGGTAAACAGTCCTGTGTTCTAAGGTATTTTTGCCAGGAAACTTAGTTGTACATTACTGTTCAGTTTTTTGTTTGTTTTTTTTTTTTTAATTGCTGATAAATCTGTACATCCCATGGCAACCTTAGACGTTTGTTCTTATGTAGGAATCCTAGCTTTGTGATACATCTAAATTACTGACCTGTAATTCTATACTGTTTAGATACATCTTTAAAAATGGAAGTATTTTGACTGGGAATAAATGCTGTCTTTTAAGACTCTGTATTTTTTTTTTCATCTGATGGTATACTGTCTTAAATTTTTACCGTGGCATAGAGTTCTGAATTGAGAGTGTTAACGTATTGTACAAGTTGCTGTCAGTGTAACACTGGGGTTGTGCAACTATGCAGGAAATGAATGGTTTTTTTGGACCCAGAAAGTTGTTGGAAATAGATTATATTGTGTGAAATTACTTCTATTAACAAAGAGATTAATTTGGTCCATAATACCATAGTATCTCTCCTGTCAGTTGCAAAAAAAGTTTATTTCTTAAAGCACTAACCCTCCCTTCCACAGGTGGAAAGGTGAGACAAGTTTGTCATCCTTGGGTCAACTGGGAAGTATATAAAGTTACCATTGTAACAGCTGGGTTGTGGTCTGAATACTTCTAAACACTGATTTTTTTGACTCCGGGTTTTAGTTAATTAGGCTCAGTAGAGCATTTTGTGGGTATGTTGTGGTACCCTCTGCAGGTGGAAGCAGGTTTTACTACATTGTTTATGCTGGTATTACTTTCAGAATATCTTTTGCAACTGTCACGCCTAAAGATGACACTTCTGACAAAATCAAAGTTTAAGACCAGGGCTAACCTAGAGATTTCAGATTTTCCTTTTTTAAATAGTAATGCTAACTAGTTTGTGATGGTTTTGTAGTATTCCTATAAAAATCCTCCTGTATGTAGGATTACACTACTGATTATCCTACTGATTACACTATTTTCTTGGGAAGTATAGAGAACACTAATAGATGTGCAGGAAAAACACTTTATTCCTTTTTTTTTTTCAGTATCAGTCATACTACAGGTTGTTTTTCTCCATGTTTCTGGTTGTTGAATATACTGTGCATCTTAAAGTATAATTTTGTGATCAGTCATGTGCCTTCAGGATTGTGGAATATGAATGATCGTTGAAATACCATCAGGTGGACCTCATCATGCGTGATGAATTGGAAAAAAGCATTTTGATATATTGAAAAGTTCTGAAAACAACTGTCTGGAAAAAATAAAATGAGAATTCATTTGCTACCCTTTACCTTCTGTCAGATACTGGAGAAAAGGAAAAAGCAGCAAGAAAAAACATCTCATATGTAATAACATTGTAGTACTGTTTTTAGGAACTACTGAATGTTTTCAGTATTCTGGAATAATTGGTGTAATGTCTTTTGACAACGGATGTACTGAAATCACAGTCTGAAGGAAATCAGAAGAGTTGTTTTGACATGTGTCTACTATACAGAGAATTGAGACTGTTGCTTTTTTAAAATGTTGCCATACTAGAATATGTGTACATATTCTTGTGGTTTTTTTCTGATTTAGTTGTGTTGTTTAACCTCTTTGTACTCTGGGTTTTCTTTTCTTATCTTCAAAATCAAGATACTTTGTTGGAGACAAGTTAATTAGATTTATTTTTTTTTTTAATTCCCTCAATGTTTGCGTTGGGAATGATTAATACTAATCTTCTTTTAATACTATACAAGATATTGGGCACATTTTTTTTCCTACACAAAGACATCTTTTTACACTGTTAGAAAAGCCAAAGTACTTGTTTAATCTCCTACTGTTCAGAGCATGTGAGGTGATCGTGCCCCTGTACTCGGCCCTGGTGAGGCTGCACCTTGAATACTGTGTTCAGTTTTGGGCCCCTCACTACAAGAAGGACACGGAGGTGCTGGAGCGTGTCCAGAGAAGGGCAACGAAGCTGGTGAAGGGTCTAGAGCACAAGTCTTATGAGGAGCGGCTGAGGGAACTGGGGCTGTTTAGTCTGGAGAAGAGGAGGCTGAGGGGAGACCTCATCGCGCTCTACAACTACCTGAAAGGGGGTTGTAGCGAGGTGGGGGTTGGTCTCTTCTCCCAAGTAACCAGCAATAGGGCGAGAGGAAATGGCCTCAAGTTGCGCCAGGGGAGGTTTAGACTGGACATTAGGAAAAACTTCTTTACTGACAGAGTGGTCAGGCCTTGGAACAGGCTGCCCAGGGAAGTGGTGGAGTCACCATCCCTGGAAGTATTTAAAAGACGTGTAGACGAGGCGCTTAGGGACATGGTTTAGTGGGCATGGTGGTGTTGGGTTGACGGTTGGACTTGATGATCTTAGAGGTCTTTTCCAACCTTAATGATTCTGTGATTCTATGTTGTTTGCAGGAACTTAGTACTTCCATTTTTGAACACACTGATCGGGTGTGCTCTGTGAACATATAAACAATAAAAGTTAAATCTGTTTATACCAATGCCTGTATGCACTCTATTTAGTGCTTTCATAGATGTCTCCATTACAGAATTGCTCTAATGATTGGGCTGTGTGTTGAGCTCATTTCTATGTTACTGTTACGTTAGAAGGCCCAGTATCACCTTTTGTTCCTCATTCATTTATCTCACACCTAAAAATATTACAGTTAGCAAGTCACCCCCAGGAGCCCCAGGTGATAGTATTTTATACAGCTGGCATATGCTGCTTCATGCATGTGCTCACATTCATGCGTAGTCACAACTTAGGTACAGATGTGCTCATTACAAGCAAAACTTTTTTCTGTTTGCTCAAAAATAATCAAAAACCAAGCAGGAAGATGATATGGATAAATGACTTTCAGGTTTAGTATTTTATACTTTTGGATCTGTACAAAAGCTTTTGAAAGGTTTCAGGGAAGAAAATGTTAGCGTTAAGATTAAGAGGAACATGTGACTCCTTGGGAATCCCTGAGCAGCTTGTAAGTACTAGTTAGGGTACCAAAAGTATTTTCACAGGCAAAGAGTTTCATAGTAAAAACTGGCTATCTTGAATGTGTATTTCTTGATAATGATGCTATTTACTCTCTTCCTAGGGCAAGGGCTGTAGGGGTTATAGTTCTCTCCATCCACCCTCCCACCTGCCCCAGTAGAAGCAGGCTTGGATTACAGGCAAGCTGAAGCCTAAGTGAAGTGTTCTGGGCAGGTTTGTTAGTAAGGAATTGTGCTTAAAGCAGTGTTAGCTTTTTTCCCTCCTTCATCAAAGGCTGCACAGAGAAGTGAAATATTAGGGGTGTAAAATATAGATAGATGGATCAAAGAGCTCAGTGCTGCTTTTTTCATTAATGTTATTACCAACTGCAGATTATCTGCACTCATAAGTTTGGCAACATGGCAAGTTGCATTGTCTCACTTTGCGATCACAAGAGGAAAAGGAGGAGTGAAATCATATGGCTGGGTGTAGAGTCGGAGGGCAGGACCCTGCTCTTCTGGCACCAGCAGCCTCTTACTTCATGGTGTGCAGGAGGAGAGCATCTAGCAGTGCTGCAGGATGATCTGGGGTTTATGGGGATGGCAGGTTGAGTAAGTCCACATTA